CCATTTTGTGGACCGTTTTTAAGTGCCAATTCAGTGATGGTTTAGAGAAATAGCTTTTATCACATCCACTAAAATGGCATTTATGGGGACGAATGCCCTGATGTTCGTTCACATGTGCCTTAAATCTCCCCTTATAGGCAAACGTCTGGTCACATTCGGGCCAATGACAGACATACGGGTGTTTGTGATTGTTTTTATGAGAGTTTAACATATTTCTGGTCGCATAACATTTGCCACAACCGGCAAACGGACACTTAAACTCGCGTTCGCCGGTATGTGAGCGCCGGTGATCTCTCAGCTGTCGACCCGATTTGTAAGTGGACTCACATGCGGGCCAATCGCACCGATACGACCGCTCATCGCTGTGACACCGCTTATGTCTATTGAGGGAATCCTTTCTGTCAAAACTCATCCCACAATCGGTCTCTTCGCACACAAATGGCCTCACATTCTGGTGCTTCAGTCCGTGGATCACAAAACTTGATCTATTGTTAGTGCCGTACGAACAGCCGCTGACATCGCATTTATGCCTCTTATTGTCCGACTCATAGCTATGACACCGCTTATGCCTATTGAGGGAATCCTTTCTGTGAAAACTCTTCCCGCAATCGGTCTCTTCGCACACAAATGGCCGCACATTCTGGTGCTTCAGTCCGTGGATCACAAAACTTGATTTACTGTCAGTTACGTACGAACAGCCGCTGACATCGCATTTGGGCCTCTTATTGTCCGATCCGTCGCTGTGTTCATCGCGGGTGTGGTGTTTGCGTCTGTGATTGGCCAACGTATTGGCCTGTTTATAGGCGGACTCACATCCGGGCCAATCGCACCGATGCGGCCGTACATCGCTGTGCGACAACATATGTCTCTTGAGGTCGCCGTTAGTGACAAAACTCATCGCACAGTCGGTCTTTTCGCAGATAAACTTTTTCAACCACTGGTGACGTTTGCGGTGTCGACACAAACTACTGGAAATGTTGGTCACGAACTGGCAGTCATTGTAATCGCATTTAAACAACTCTTTGATATTGAGGTGACGTTTCTTGTGATCATCTAAATTACTCAAACTAGTGGTCTCGTACTGGCAGTCATTGTAATCGCATTTAAACTCCTTCTTCGGCACAATCGGTTCCAATGAGTGCTTTTGCCGCCGATGTTTGCAAAGTTCGCTATTCGACAAAAACCGTTTCGGACAGTCGTGACACTCAAATGACCGGACGTGTGAGTGAACGCCATTCACGTGTCTCTTTAGCATCCATTTATTCTTAAAGGCTTTCGTACAGTCAGGCCATTGGCAGCCATAGGGCGGCCCCGGAATCGCCATATCGTCGGTGTTATCGCAGTGTCCGCTCTTTTGTTGATGTATTTTGAGAGCCCTCTCGTGTATAAAACTCCGGCCGCAGTCGTCGTAACCACAGATATGGTCAGATGTTTCGTGACTCTCCCGATGGCTGTCAAGTAGTAACTGATTGATAGCCCGAAAGTGGCAGTCATCGTAATCGCACGCAAACGGCTTAAGTGGCAGAGAAGTAGACGGATCTGTCAGACAGTCTGCTTTGTCGGCCAACTTTTCCCTCAAAACAGACGCAGACATTACAAGAGCCGACTCTTCTTCCACTTCGTTTACCTCTTCCTTCACAACCACTTCAGGTATTGTCCACTCATTCGTGTCCGCAATATATCCGTCCTCTTGAGTGAGAAATGTGTTCACAATTGAGTGATTTATGGCATGGATTTCAGTGACGAGAGGCCAGCTATAGGTAGTGACTGTGCGGTCGGCGATGTATTCATCGGTGATAATTGGTTTGTAATCCGTGTCTTCCGTCTCCTTCTTAATGTCTTTCTCGACATTTGTGTTGTTAACACATCCATCACTTCCAGTGTCTGTCTCTATCTGACCGTCATTTACAATGTCTTCGGCGGTCATTGACTGGTCTTCAGTTGACTCGATGTCACATTCCTTCTCCTCCTTCACGACAACCACTTCTTCACATATTGTCCACTCATTCATGTCCTCAATATATGCGTCCTCTTGAGTGCCGTTTCGGTTCACAATTGACTGATTGGTGGCAACAATTTGGGTGATTAGTGGCCACACATTGGCGGCAGTAGTGGTGGTGTCGGCGCCCATAAGTGCCGTTTGTTGAGCGCATCCATCGGTGATAACAGTCTTGTACTGAGTCTCCAGGGATTCAATGAAGACCTCATTATTGGACTTTCTGGACATTTAATCGTCAGTTCATTAATTATAATACAATTTAAATCACAATTCAAACAAAACTTTGTTTTCTTTTCGCACAAAACTGTTTGTCAACAAAACTAAAGTCAAGACATCAATCATTGGTTACATAATTAACGTCTTGTATATGAATATAAATTAAGCGCCGAATTAAACGGTAATTAACTTTTGATTATAATTACAATTCAATTATAAAGTGTCACTAAATTAATCAAAAGTTACTGTTATTTATTTCACAACACTTACTGTTTGAACGACACTTATCTAAGGGCGGAGTCAATAGAGGGAGCATTGCGTTCAGTTTTGTTGACTACTTTTTTGTTTTGAATAACAAACACGTGTTTTGATTCATGTATTGATTTAATTGTTGTATTAATTGTTTGTTTCAATCATTTTGTGAAAAATGTGTCAAATGTATAGCAAATCATCTTTCGATAGATTTGGTGACGATTTGTGGCATTTTTCACATAAAATGATTAAAACAAACAATTAATACAATAATTAAATCAATACAAATGTGATTATAAAAATGTAAACAAAACTTTTTGGAACTTTTATTAACAAAAGGTTTTGAGTGCCAAATATGGCTGCAATGAGTGCTCATATATAAGTGCAGACCTCTATTGGCTTTACCATTAGGATAATGTCAACCAATCGTATAATTTTTATGTTTATAAAACTTTTATAAACTTTTAATTAGTTGTAAAAATCAAAATAGTTTTGATTAAAATGTGATTTAAATTTTTTGTGAGTTTAATATGTCAATTGAATTATTGTCGCATATATTATAATAAGTAATGTTTTCAAATAAAACAAAATTAAATATTGAATATAAAAATTATTTATTTCATAAAAAGTGATAATTGAGACAAAATAGGGGTTATAGTATTTTTAAGGTTTATTTTAAAACAATTTTAATTATTCAAATTAAATCATATTTTATTTAGAGTCATGTATTCATTGATTTGTGCTGTTCTTAACAAAAATTCTTATTACATAAAATTATATAAATATAAAAATTTATTAAAAATACTTTTAACATTAGTTATAAAGGAATTAAAATTAAAAAGGAATTATATAAACTTGAGATTATATTTATGGATAATTATTGCTACGATTATAATATATATAATACTTAATCAAAGTTAACACATAATAAGGCATATGTTATACAATAAAAAAACAAAATAATATCATTTGAAAGGGATTACAGTTAATGAAAACCATGTGTTATATAATTATTTTAAAACTGCTTTCCGGACATTTACTTCTGAGATAATTGACAGCCGTTTCTGTGGTATTATTAGTGCCCATGAGTTGAATGCAACGGATTTGTGTCAGTCTTGACAATGCATTCAACACTTCATCCGTTATTATCAATCCATTGATCTTCAGATACATAAGTTGTGGCAAATGATTGTAAATATGTTTAACTATCAAATAATTTTTACATTTGATTGTCATATGTGTTAATTGTGTCAATGATTTCAATTTTCTGGTCGTAAAATCTGTAGCCAAACATCCGTTTATTTCCAGACGTTTTAATTGTTTAAAGTTAACGACAATTATTTCCATCATTTCTCTGTCAAATTCATAATTTGTATTCAAATGAATGCTAAGACTCTTGAGTTGCGGGCATTTGAGGCCGATTTGCGACAAAAATGAGGCAATTTTATCACTTATTATATCGAAACTGAATTTAATAGCAATTAATGCTTTCATTTGTGACAAACAGTTATATAAAACATCCGATAATTCTTTAATCACATTATTGTCGATGTGTTTGAAATCAAATCCAATTGACTTAATATTGTGGCCGTATTTTTCAGCAAACAATTCAAATGCTGTCAATTCATTGGGAATATTATTTTTACCTTCAAATATAAATTCAATACTTTTGAGTCGTTTATAATGCAAACCATTTTCAGCACTCAATACGAGAGGAGATTTCGACAACATTTTAAACGGTATTTTAATTGCCGTTAAATTAATACACATTTTAAGCCATTTATGAATAACTTTATCATTTTTTCGTAAATCATTTACTGATATGTATTTCATTTGTTCAACAAATATCGCCATAAATTTATCGATCATTTCAACAGTACTTTCATTGAAATTAATATTACATTTAATAGCATTTAATTTTTTGCAATGTTTTATAATAAAATCAATTAATGAATCATTAAATTTAATCAAACCATTGTCTTCGCGACAAATACTTTGTATGTTTGAACACTTCATCAGTATTTTAGTTAAATTATTATTAATTAAATTGTTGCCAATAATAAGCGACAATTGTCTCGTATATATCAATCTCTGCCACTGTTTAGACACCAATTCATATCTGAATTTGTCTTCAAATATCATAAAAGACAACATCTCTTGGCATAAGTCGTCTCCAAATCTATCGAAAGAGTCTTTACTATACTTTTGTGACATTTTTAGACACAAAATGATTGAAACAAACAATTAATACAACAAACCAATAGTCAATCAATACAAATGTGATTATTAAGAAGTACACAAAACTTTGTGCAACTTTTGAAACTTGTCTCACAAACTGTTTGTGTGGCAGTCAGTGGTTATTGACCTTAATATCAGTGCCGCTCTCTATTGAGTGCCATTGAGTTGAGTGTAGTTTGTGTTGAAGTAAACAAGTTTTGAATCAAACTTTGGTTTGAATTGTGTTTTAAGTGTTGTTATAATCAATAAATAATTGAATGAATTGAGGGTTTAATGAATTAAAAGACAGCAAACAATGTGTGAAATAGTAATCAATGAATTGATTGGAGAGTTATTTGAGGAAAATAAGAGACTTTTATCTGAATTAAAGATTACGACAAAATGTCTGCAGATATACAGGAAATTAAGTTTGAATTGTGTTTGTCTTAAAAGTAGTGATAATCAGCTGTTAATCGATTCACTCGAGGACTACAAGACGATTATCACCGATGGATGGGCTCAACACTCGACCCAAACCACAACCACTCATAACTGGCCATTGGATACACAGACAACACCTGTCGGCCACCGATCGGAGACAATCACTGCTGAAGACCTGTCATTGACCGCCGAAGACGTTGAAAGTGACGGACCAATTGAGACAGACACTGGAAGTGATGGATGTGTTGACACCACTAATGACGAGACAATTGAGGCGAAGAAAGAGTGCTCATCAAAAGCGATGGAAGCGTTTAAATGCGATTTCATTGGCTGTCACTTCGAGACCACATTAACGAGTACTCTGACGCGACACCGGAATCGGCACCACTTCAAGGCCAAGCACTTGGTCTGCCCGAAGACGGACTGCACCGAGAGATTTGTCACTAAAACTGAACTCCGGCGGCATTTGTCGGCTCACACGGGCTTAAAGGCGTATCGTTGCCAATGGCCGGGTTGTGGGGCCGCCTATACCGGGGTCTACGCTCTGACCGATCATCAGCGCAAACATACCGGCGATTTGCAGTACGCTTGCAATGAGTGCCCCAAACGGTTCCCCTCTCGCGGCCAACTCACTCACCACCGCAACGGCCAACACATCCTCCGGGACCAGCGGTTTCGCACTGAGGCTCGACTGGTCTCACATATGGACGATCACAACGAGGTTAAGCCATACAAGTGTTGGTTCGATGGCTGCGAGAAATGTTTTGCCGACAAACAGTACCTCAACCGACACCACAGAGAAGTTCATAAAATGTTTTCACGTGTGAAGTGATGTTCCCTTTTATTGTTGATTTAGTTCACGATTTGTAGATTTTGTGATACAATTAATGACATTATTTAGTAATTTTCATTTGTAATTAAATTTAATGACTGGAATTGTCGTCTCATTGCTCTCTCTATGGGGTTCTCCCATAGAATAAAGTCATCCAATGGTATAAGTCTTATGTTTTTTCAAGAGTTGTAAAACAAAAAAGTTTTGATTAAACTATGATTTGAATATTGTTTTAATTGTTTTGTGAATTATTGTCGCATACATTATGATATGTGATGTTTTCAAATAAAATAAAATGCAATATTGAATGTGAAAGTATTTGTTTAATGAAAACTTATAATTGAGACAAAATAGTTATTTATAATTTTTATTTCAAAACAATTTTTAATTATTTAAATTTAGGAATAATTATTGATACGATTATATGTAAAAGCCTTAATCAAAGTTAACACATAATATGGCATATGTTATACAATAACAGTAAAATCATATCATATGTAAGGGATTGGTGTCAATGAAAACCATGTATTAAGACATGAATACCATTTTGAGGAGAATTTTCACTTAATCTAAGAGTAATTTTGGGACAATTAATGAACACATTATCTTCTTTTTGATCTTCTTCTTCATCTTCTTCTTCCCAATAGTTGGCAGATATGGTACCAAAGAGTTGAACGAAACGGATTTGTGTCACTTTTGACACTGAATTCAACACTTCATCCGTTAGGACCACTCCATCGACCTTTAGATCCAGAAGTTGTGGTAAATTGTTGTGAATATTAGCGAAGAAGTCGTCGTTGTCGACATACCACGCGCTGTCCATATCTATACTTAAATGTGTTAATCGTTTCAATGCTTTCAATGAATTGGTCGTCACTTTCTTATCAAAAATTCCATATATTTCTAAACGCTTTAATTGTTTGAAGTTTTCGGCAATTGTTTTAATCATTTCATCAGTAATTTTATAATGAATACAATTTGCATCGAAATAAATGCTAAGACTCTTGAGTTGCGGGCATTTGAGACCAATTCGCGACAAAAATAAGACAATTTTATCACGTATTGCGAACCGATTATCATAATCAATGTCGTCATCATTGAAGTTGTCATCTCTTCTTACGTTTAAAATAAATTTGAGAGCAATTAATGCCTTCATTTGTGGCAAACATTTATACAAAACATCTGAGAGTCTGTTAATCACATTAATGTCGATATGTCTGAAATCAAATCCAATTGCCTTAATATTGTGGCCGTAATTGTGAGCAAACAATTCAAATGCATTCAAATCTTCGGCAATCAAATTACAATAAATACCGAAAACCAAATCAATACTTTTGAGTCGTTTATAATGCAAACCATTTTCAGTACTCAATACAAGGGGTGTTTTCGACAACATTTTAAACGGTATATTAATTGTCGTTAAATTAATTGACATTTCGAGCATTTCATACATCAAATCCTTTACAGTAAAATTATTTAGTGATATAAAAGTCAATTGTTTAGCAAAGTGTGCCATAAACACCTTGCTCACTTTTAAATAACGCTCACTGAGAACATATTTAATGTCATTTAAATGATTGCAATGTTTTATAAGTAAATTCATTAATGAATCGTTTAAATAAATAGTGCCATTGCCTCTGCCTTTACAACAAACACGTGTAATGTTTGGACACTTTATCAGTATTTTCTCAATTTTGTTCAAATTATTTTTATCATCAACATTAAATTCATAATTGTCTTCAAAGTTAATATTAAACACAAACTGTGTATTGAATATCAATCTCTGCCACTGTTTTGAAACACATTCACAACGGAATCGGTCTTTGAATGTGAGAAATGTTAGCAAAACTTCACACAAATCGTCACCAAATCTATCGAAAGAGTCTTTGCTATACATTTGTGGCATTTTTCACACAAAATGATTGAAACAAACAATTAATACAACAATTAAATCAATACTTCAATCAAAACACGTGTCTTTTAAAGCAAAACAGTAGTCAACAAAACTGTCTCTCATTCGCGCCCTCTATTGACTCCGCCCTTACATAACAGGCGTATAAACAGTAAGTGTTGTGAAATAACTGTAAATAACAGTAACTTTTGATTAATTTAGTAACACTTTATAATTGAATTGTAATTACAATCAAAAGTTAATTGCAGTTTAATTCAGTGCTTAATTTATATTCGTATACAAGACGTTAATTATGTAACCAATGATTGATGTCTTGACTTTAGTTTTGTTTACAAACAGTTTTGTGCGAAAAGAAAACAAAGTTTTGTTTTGAATTGTGATTTAAATTGTATTATAATTAATGAACTGACGATTAAATGTCCAGAAAGTCCAATAATGAGGTCTTAATTGAATCCCTGGAGACTCAGTACAAGACTGTTATCACCGATGGATGCGCTCAACAAACGGCACTTATGGGCGCCGACACCACCACTACTGCCGCCCATATGTGGCCACTAATCACCCAAATTGTTGCCACCAATCAGTCAATTGCGAACCGAAACGGCACTCAAGAGGACGCATATATTGAGGACATGAATGAGTGGACAATATGTGAAGAAGTGGTTGTCGTGAAGGAGGAGAAGGAGTGGAACATCGAGTCAACTGAAGACAAGTCATTGACCGTCGAAGACATTGTAAATGACAGACAGATTATAGAGACAGACACTGGAAGTGATGGATGTGTTGACAACACTAATGACGAGATAGAGATTAAGAAGGAGACGGAGGACACGGATTGCAAACCAATTATCACCGATGAATACATCGACGACCGCACAGTCACTACCAATAGCTGGCCTCTGGTCACTGAAATCCAGGCCATTAACCACTCAATTGTGGACACATTTCTCACTCATATAACTCAAGAGGACAGACATATTGAGGACACGAATGAGTTTACAATACCTGAAGAAGTGGTTGTGAAGGAAGAGGTGAACGAAGGGGAAGAAGAGTCGGCTCTTGTAATGTCTGCGTCTGTTTTGAGGCAACAAATGGCCGACAAAGCAGACCAACTGACAGATCCGTCTACTTCTCTGCCACTTAAGCTGTTTGCCTGCGATTACGAAGACTGCGACTTTCGGGCCATCAATCAGTCACTACTTGACAGCCATCGCGAGAGTCACAAAACATTTGACCTTTTCTGTGGTTACGAGGACTGCGGCCGGAGTTTTATGCACGAGAGGGCTCTCAAAATACATCAAAACAAAAGCAGACACTTCAATGACACCGACGATATGGCAATCGCGGGGCCGCCCTATGGCTGCCAATGGCCTGACTGTGCGAAAGCCTTTAAGGCTAAATGGTTGCTTAAGAGACACGTGGATCAGGTGCACAAAGGCGTTCGGCAATTCGCGTGTCACGACTGTCCGCAACGGTTTGCAAAGAAGAGCAGTCTTTGCTTACATCGGCGGCAAAAGCACTCATTGGAACCGATTGTGAAGAAGGAGTTTAAATGCGATTACAATGACTGCCAGTTCGAGACCAACATTTCCGGGAGTTTGCGTCGACACCGCAAAAGTCATCTCAATATCAAAGAGTTTGTCTCCGAAGAGACGACGAGTTTTGTTACTAACGGCGACCTCAAGAGACATATGCGGCGACACAGCGATGAACGGCCGCATCCGTGCCAATGGCCTGACTGTACGAAACCCTTTTCGACATTATGGAAACTGAAGCGACACGTGGATCAGGTGCACAAAGGCGTTCGGCCATTTGCGTGTCACGACTGTCCTAAATGGTTCCAGTCGTGTAGTCATCTTCGCAAACATCGGCGGCAAAAGCACTCATTGGAACTGATTGTGAAGAAAGTGTTTAAATGCGATTTCATTAGCTGTGAGTTTGAGACCACGGGTTCGAGTGCTTTGAATGATCACAAGAAACGTCACCTCAATATCAAAGAGTTTGTGTGCGAAGAGACGGACTGTGCGGCGAGTTTTATCACTAACGGCGACCTCATGAGACACATGCGGTCGCACAGCGATGAACGGCCGCATCGGTGCGATTGGCCCGGATGTGAGGCCGCCTATAAACAGGCCAACACTTTGACTATACACAGGCGTAAACACCACACCCGCGATGAACACAGCGACGGGTCGGACAATAAGAGGTTTAAATGCGATGTCAGCGGCTGTTCGTACGGCAGTAACAGTAGATCAAGTTTTGTGAGCCATGAACTGAAGCACCAGAATGTGAGGCCATTTGTGTGCGAAGAGACCGATTGCGGGAAGAGTTTTAGCCGAAAGGATTCCCTCAATAGACATAAGCGGTGTCACAGCGATGAGCGCCCGTATCGGTGCGATTGGCCCGCATGTGAGTCCGCTTACAAATTGGGTCCACATCTGGCCGATCACCGGCGCACACATACCGGCGAACGCGAGTACAAGTGTCCGTTTGCCGGTTGCGGCAAATGTTATGCGACCAGAAGTATATTAAAC